GGAGGTCTACCATAGCTCCCTCCATGCTGACCACCACTTGATATTGCATTTTCTTACCTAACTGGTGAGAACATGGAAGGGTGTCCACGTGACAAAGGAAGCCCTGTGTAACCAAGTGCAGCGGGCTTGCAAAGCCTGCAAAATAATTTCACATGAAATCTGGCAAAGTAGAGTTTGAGACCAGTGCATTGCCTCTCAACTGAATGTATGCAGAGCCATAAACACAACCGTAAAAACCTCTTTGGTTCTAACCACTTCTGGCCTCCCAGTGCTGGGGGACGGGGTGGGAGGTGAAGTCCTGCTATGCAGCCAGTCGTGGCTGATAATGTCTCCAGCTCCCTTAATCAATCCAACATGTCTGCGGCTTAACTTTGTGTCAGTGCTCAAAACCTGGACAGGAGGGTTGATCCCTTAAGGAGGCTTGCTAATTGCTACCCAACCCTCTGAGCCTGAAGGATTAGCCTGCATAATCTCACTCTTAATGAAGCGTGTGGAGCCCTGGATCCAATTATCTTACTGTTTTCCTGGCCCCCTTCATAGTCCTAGGCAGCAAGGACAGCGCTTCGTCCTGGCTGATTAGATAGCCTTCCTCCAGCGGGGCACAAGATTGGGCCTGGAGGCCTTGCCAGGCCCATTCCTGCTACTTATCTCAGCCTGCTTGGCGCTTCTCTCAGTGGGAGAAGCCAGCGGACCAGAAGGAAATTAAACCGGCCATCAGTTCGGCAGGCTGGAAACTGGCTACGGTCTCATCCCATCCAGCAATGTCACGAGAATCAGCAGGACATCTGTGCTTGAAGGCTCTCAGATTCCTCCCTGCAGACAGCAGGACGAACTGTCCACTCTCAGTAATTCTAGAAGAAGTGTTACATGAAAATATTGAGTCATGACTGAACCTCTGTTCAGCGGGACTCCATGGTCCCTCCATTGTCCCCGTGAACTTTCCTGTATCATCAAATGGGCTCTGAGGCAGGACTCGGTGTGTAGTGGTGATGTTCTCAAGGACAAATGAGGAGTGAGCATTGGCGTCCAGAGCCAGCTGCACTCTGCATTTTGTTCCAGGCCTCTCTGGACAGTTCGCGGGCCAAGAATAAGCTGTTAAGATGTTTCCACTCTGTGTTTTCCCCTTGCCATCTGTAATAGATTTGAGATGTTCCAATCATTTTAAAAGTAGAAAGCAATGTTGGAGTCTGACTATAGGTTACACACACACACACACACACACACACACACACACACACTCCTCTGGAGCACAGAGCTCCAAGACTCTTTCATGTCTACTTCTCCTGTACCTGTTTCTATTGATGTCACACCTGTGTGGTTCAACAAAGAACTCCTCTCCATGCCCTGTTCTGAAGATTCCAGAACTGGACTCCTGAGGGGGAAGTGGCTGACTCCTTTGGTTTCCAGATGAGGAGACAGAGGGACCTCAGGGGCCTTATTTGCTCTGTGGGGCAGCTTCCCCAGAGAGAACCACCCTTCACGCCAAGAAGAGGCTGTACCAGTAATAATCACAATTACTAATAATATCTCCCACTTACTGAGTCCACTTAATACCAGTCAGTGTTAAGAGCTGTAGACGAATGCCATTGGTATAGCCACTTTACAGGTGAGTAGACAGAGGCTCTACCACTTGTCCGTCAGTTTGTCCTACTGTGGTAGCATGTGTGTTGCTGTCATGCTGGTAGCTATGTCACCGGTACTTCAAATGTCAGAGGATCACCCAAAGTGAACAGGTTTCAACGGAGCTGAAACGTCTTCAGCGTTTATGTGTGTAAGGTGGTCATACAATGATGGTTTTTGTTCTTTGGTGTCTGCTGCCTGTTTCCTTCAACACTTCGTGTTCGCACAGGCTCGTGTGCTTCTTCTCTGTGGACTTTGTTGTTTCCGAGCTAGATGGCCGCTTGTTTGCCTACAAGCCTTTAAGACCCCAGATGCTATATCTTTTGATAGCCGGGCACCATCAGCTTTCTTCACCACATTTTCTTATGCACACATCTGTCTTCAGCGATCATGTCGGGAAGGTAGATATCATAAAATGACCGTTTAGCTGAGCAAGGTGCTCTTGTATTAGGGGAGTGCGCATGAGGAGGCCCAATGTCCACCTGCCACCCTACTACCAAACCAATAATTATTGCACCAAGAACAGAGAATAAAGGACTCGGCTCCTCCCTTTGAAGGAAAGGAGCTGCTGAAACCTTATGCAGCTCTGAAACCTGTCAGATCCCGAAGGCGTAATGAAGGGAAGCAGATCACTGTCAGCGATAGCGCTGGAGGATGGGCCTGGGGTGGAGGGCACTTGAAGTGTGACTGAGGAGGAGCTGATTTCCTGGAGTGGAGTCAGCCATGGTGATGGGAGTTGGGTGGCACCTGAGGGAGTGCAGCCTTCGGGAATTTCATTTGCTGATGGGGCACGAGTCAAGGTAAGGAGAAATAGCTTCAAAAAATCTGATCAAAAAATGATCAGATGTTGGAATGTGCAAAGTATGAATCTAAGAAAATTGTAAGTGGCCAAAAATGAAATAGAACACATAAAGATAGATATTCTAGGCATTAGTGAGCTGAAATGGAATGACATTGACCATTTTGAATTAAAATGTTTTACTATGCCCAAAATGGCACAATCAAGAGGAATGGTGTGGCATGTATTGTCAAAAAGGATGTTGCAAAATCCATCATGATGTACAATTTTGTCAGTGATAGGATCATATCAATCTGCCTTCAAGGAAATCCAATCAATACAACTATTATTCAGATTTATGCACCAACCACAAAAGCTAGTGAGGAAGAAATTTAAGAATTCTACCAATGTCTTCAGTCAGAAATTGATCAAACATGCAGTCAAGGCTCGTTGATAATTATTGGCGATTGAAATGCAAAAGTTAGAAGGAAAAAGGAAGGGCAGTAGTTGGAAAACATGGACTTGGGGATATGAACGAAGCTCGAGATCTCAGGATAGAATTTCGCAAGACCAATAGCTTGTTTACAGCAAGTCCCTTTTTTAAGCAACACAAAAGAGGACTTTACACATGAACTTCTCCAGACGGAATCCAAGGGACGACATCTGTAGGGCGAGACACTGGAGAAGCTCAGCATCAGCAGCTCAAACCAGGTCTGGGGCTGACTGTGGAACAGACCAGCAATTACTCATATGTACGTTCAGGAAAAAGTTGGAGAAAATTAAAGCAATCTATGAGAACCAAACTGTGACTTTGAGTCTCTCCCACCTGAATTTAGAAAACAGCTCCTGCACAGATTTGATGCATTGAACACAAATGATAGAAGACCGGGTGAGCTTTGGTATGACATCAAGAACATCATACATGAAGAAAGCAACTAAAAATATAAGAAAGAAAGATTGAAGTGGATGTCAGAAAAAACTCTGAAAATTGCTGTTAATTGTGAGTCAGCTAAAGCAAATGGAAGAAATGTTGAAGTTAAAAAGCTGAATAAAACATTTCAAAGGGCAGCTTGAGAAAACAACCAAATATGATAATGAAATGTGCGAAGACCTAAAATTAGAAAACCAAAAAGAACACTCTTGGAATATTAAACTGAAAGAACACAAGAAAAACTTCAAGTG